GACAGTTCAAAAGAGCAGCATTTATTTGAGATAGAAACCTTTTGTAACATCATAATGTTTTTACTGGCACTTCTAATAAATGTAATGCATCCTTGCTGATAAAAATGTTAATTTCTTTAAAAGAAATTACTGACTCCAAACTTTTGTGAATGTAACATCCGCTTTTCACCATCTAATCAATTTCTAATGGATAAAATAATTAATTCTGGGGAAAAAATTGTGAAATAGCTGGTCTGCTGGTTCTGATTCAACAAGTTCGCTGTCAGTGACCTTTGCCACTTAATAAACGCTCACTAATTATGAGCTAATTCTCCCTGTGAGAGTTAAACACCCTGTCACACACATACACATCAACATTTGAGCCAAACATCTGTTCATGTGTGCTTGTGAATGATAGTATATTTCTATTGACATGTAATGAAAAATGTCAATATTTCATTTCACTGTTTAAGGCAAGACACTACAGGTAAAACCATTGCTTTTTATGCATTTTTGTGTTATTTTGCTTCAATAACTTGATTTACATAAAAAAATCCAAAATACACATTCAAGTGTTTATTTTATTAACTTTATCTATTTGAGTTTGTGGATTTCAAATTCAATACATTTCTTTTAAATGTCGTTTTCACAAAATGAGTTTCTCCTCTGATTCAGTAGCACTTACATGCACCAAATTTTACTGTTGAATTCCTATCTTTACTCTGAAGGTTTTTACAGAGGGCTTGGCTCATATGTCATTCACCTGATTTTATATAGCATTTTATTCCTAAAAACATGGTTTTCTGATTTATGGGGGGATAAAAAGAGAAATCAAAAGTGCACTTTATAAAAACCTTGAACTCTAAGATGTCAACAAAACATAAGAATTTTGAATCTGGCTTTATCCAATGTTCAGATTTCTGTTGTGGAAATGTATGCAAATTAATGCATATTTAATTAGATACTTATACTTAAATATAACATTTCAGAAAACCTGTAGTACAAAACAATTGTCTTAATGTACTGTGAGTAATCAACTGTGGAAAATATAGTGATGTCTATTAGTATTCACCTGTAGTGTCTTGCTTTATGATTAACAGATATAGTAAGAGTGATTTTGGTCATTTTTTTATTTGTTTACAATGTTTTTCAAAGGCCTGTAATTATTCATTGACAGGCCCAGCATGTCCAGCATTGAGATTATAGTTGTGTTTGATTTTTGCGTGCAGCCTGGATCTGATTGGTGCAGTACTCACTGTCCTGAGCCACATCAGTCAGCCGAATGTCACACTCCACCAGACTGCTGTTGTGGGACATTCCTTCCTCCAGAACCTTACTGCCGTCCTGCAGGAGACACACACGAGATGTGACGTCTCATTTGGATTACAGTGCTGTATCTGACACAAATCAGAGAAATAACTGCGGGAGAGGCTCACTGAGGACACGACTAGAAATCAGTGGTTAAGTTGTATTTACAACACTGTTCCAGAACACTTCAACCCAAATATTCAGATGTGTGCAGCACATTTTATGGAGGACTGTTTCCTGATCCTGGTAGAGTAGACTACAATGCCGGCTGTTCTGACTCACAGACTGTAAGTACGTTTTTTATATTTAAAGAATTTGCCACTGATGATTCAAGCGCGAGTTTTGAGCAGTGTAGAGTAGCGCTTGTTGTTTGTCATTTCTCCGATCACAAATGCAGACATGGTTTTATGTTTATGCGGCGCGATGCAACGCAACGCGTAAAAAGACAGTATAAGTCATTATAATCAGTAATTATGTCCCCACTGGATGCAACAAATGCCTCGTTTATAATGGGTTTTAATGTTTTTGTCTCGTCGCTCCGGCTGGACAGGGCATCACAGTATGGTGAGGGGCGTAACATTTCCGTCACACGCTTGAGGTATTCGGCCAATCACAACGCACTGAATAGCTGGCCAATCACAGCACACCTCACTTTTCAGACCGATGAGCTTTGTAAAAATCAACGTGTTTCAGAAAGGCGAGGCATAGAGGAGAAACAATAATGTACAGTTTGTGGAAAATAATGTGTTTTTTTAACCTTAAACCGCATAAACACATTTCATTACACCAAATACACAAAATAATGTTCTTTTTCGCAACATCATATGACCCCTTTAAATGTGAAAAATAGAGGGCAAGGTTTGATTTGATCTATTATGAATGAATGTGAGGTGTGGTGCATGCATGTACAAGTTAAAAAAAAACATTTCACCACAACAGAAAGACCTACAGCACTGTTAAAAATGTTTGGGATCAGTATGATTTTTAAAATGTTTTTGAAAGACTGCACCAAGACTGCATTTATTTGACAAAAAAAGGTATTTTATGGTTAGTGCCGAATCTCTCTACTGTAAATGGCATCGCACTTAATACATTTGAAGGTTGAAGTACTCTGATGACAAAGCATATCACATTTTGCAGTACGGCTGCATTGAGATGCTTTCACTCTGAGTATGCAGACTAATGTTTCTGGTGAGGAGCGCCAGAGCTCTTTCTGATTAAGAGGTGATTGTTTGAAATATGATTTGCCTTGAAACAGAAATGGGAGGAGCGGATAAATGCAGGAACCATTTGGATCATCCGTCCCAGGAGAGAGGTAATCCCCATCCCACATGTCTGTCTGTTAGTGCGCATCTATCCTGCAGCCATGAATAATTCTAAGACAAGGGCTGCATCATTTCATATTCATCTCTTTACAGACAATTAAATGCTTTAAAAAGTCATTTGTTTCTCATCAAAAACATGTTAAACAGGAATAGTAAAAATAGAGAAAGTACATGTTACAGTATGATACTAAGGTGTTGTTGGTAGTTGCCAGAATGTTATCAATGTAGTTGCTTTTGTCACTATATGGGATTGATTTCTGTCAGTTTTAACATCTAAAAGGTGCAAATTACAGGTCTTAATAAATTCTCATAATTCACTGCAAAAGTTATTTTTTACTCTGTATTTTTGTGTTGTTTTCCAGTTCAAAAACCTAAACATGCTTAAATCAAGATTAATTTACTTTAGATGCAAAATAGTCTTGTTTTCTGTAAATAAATAAATAAAATAAGAGAGGTTTATGCAAGGAAATGAAAAAAATTAAATTAAATAAGTATGCAGACTAATGTTTCTGGTGAGGAGCGCCAGAGCTCTTTCTGATTAAGAGGTGATTGTTTGAAATATGATTTGCCTTGAAACAGAAATGGGAGGAGCGGATAAATGCAGGAACCATTTGGATCATCCGTCCCAGGAGAGAGGTAATCCCCATCCCACATGTCTGTCTGTTAGTGCGCATCTATCCTGCAGCCATGAATAATTCTAAGACAAGGGCTGCATCATTTCATATTCATCTCTTTACAGACAATTAAATGCTTTAAAAAGTCATTTGTTTCTCATCAAAAACATGTTAAACAGGAATAGTAAAAATAGAGAAAGTACATGTTACAGTATGATACTAAGGTGTTGTTGGTAGTTGCCAGAATGTTATCAATGTAGTTGCTTTTGTCACTATATGGGATTGATTTCTGTCAGTTTTAACATCTAAAAGGTGCAAATTACAGGTCTTAATAAATTCTCATAATTCACTGCAAAAGTTATTTTTTACTCTGTATTTTTGTGTTGTTTTCCAGTTCAAAAACCTAAACATGCTTAAATCAAGATTCATTTACTTTAGATGCAAAATAGTCTTGTTTTCTGTAAATAAATAAATAAAATAAGAGAGGTTTATGCAAGGAAATGAAAAAATTTTAATTAAATAAAATAAAATCTGCCAAAAAAATAAATAAAAAATAAAAGTAAGAAAAATTAAATTAATGCAAAGGAAAACAAGTTTATTTTTCCTACCCCATCGGCAGAAAATGTTCTTATTTTTAGCATAAAATTTACTTAATCTTGATATTTTTCAGAAAAGACTTAGTATCTTGTTATTTTGTAACTCAGGTAAAAGATATTAAGTCTTGTTTACAGAAAAAAAAATATTTTTTTAAATTTAAAAAAAGAGCGAGAGAGAAATCTCTGCCAAATTAATTCAAGGGGAAAACAAGTTTATTTCCCTTAACCCATTGTCAGATATTTTTCATGTTTTAATTTTTGTTTTAATTTATTTTTTGCTTATTCTTGTTTAATATTGATCAATTTATTTATTAAATATTTATTTATTTTATATTTATATTATAACAGTCAAAATGTTTTTTTCTTTACGGTAAAACTTTAGAATAGGGAACACATATTCACAACTTGAACAAACTCCTAATTTGCTGCTTATTAATAGTTAGTAAGGTAGCTGTTAAGTTTAGGTATGGGGTCGGATTAAGGAATCTAAAATATGGTCATGCTGAATAAGGCATTAATATGTGCTTAATAAGTACTAATAAACAGCTACTAATATGCATGCTAATAAACTAGTTAATATTGAGAATTGATCCTTAAACTAAAGTGTTACCTTTTTTACTTTTATGCACATGTACCAAAACCAAGGCGTTAAAAAAAGTAGGAGCATACCCTTAAACATCATCTTCTGAGGTTTACTCACAACTCCCAGTCTGTTGTTGGATAGGTTTAGGTTCTTGAGGGTACGGTTCTCCACCAGGGCCTGAGACAGCGCCACGGCCGTGGGTTCGGTCATGTTATTTTCCCCCAGATGAAGGTTCACCAGGGTCTTGTTCTTCACCAGAGCCTGAGCCAGAGCTTGACCCCCTTCATCCCCGATGTGGTTGAGCCTCAGGTTGAGGGACATCAGGGTGGTGTTTTTGGACAGAGCATGAGCCAGAGCCTGAGCTCCTAGACCTCTGATCTGGTTGTTGCAGATGACCAGCCTCTTCAGCTGACTGCGGTTCAGGAGTTTTCCGATGGCTCGGGCTCCGCGGTCACTGATGTGATTATGCGAAAAGTCGAGCTCCTGTAGTGACGGGTGATCCAGTAGGTGGCTCACAAGCAGGCAACACTTCTCATCGTCCACCTTACTGCGATGGATCTTGAAGACCTGTTGCGAAAAATGGGAATTTAACAACCAAACATCAATACCAATCCTCTTAAAATATAGAATGAATGCTATTGTAAACTAAATTAAAACTAAACTAAAACTAAAAGAAATGTGACTCACTAAAAACATAAATAATTATACAATTAAACACTTTCTAGGAGAAATAACGCTTCTCTCTTCTGGAAGTGTAAACTGACAAAAAATTGCAGTTAGCCAAGAGAGAGAAAAATATCTAGTATTTTTTTAAAATCTTTTTTGTTAATTTAAATAGAGCTAAAATGAAATTAAATCTAAATATGAAATGAAAATCTTAAAATAAAACTTAAACTTAAAACAAATAAAAATTATTAGAAATGTTGCCTTGGCAAGAAACTGGAAAAAAAATAATAAGATGAAGTACTTAAATTACTGAAACTTAAACTGAACTTATATTTCAATGCTCTTCCATTCTCTCACAAAAGTACTGTGATCATCCAAGAAAAGTTTTCTTTTGCAAAAGTATTGCGTTCCCTTGAAAGACTCTCACAAAAGTATTGCATTCATCCGAAACACTCTGCGTTCTCTCACAAAAGTATTGCGGTTTTCTTTTGCAAAAGTATTGCGATCCCCTGGGAAACTTTGTTTTCTTTTTCAAAAGTATTGCGTTTCCCCCAAGAAACTTTATGTTCTCTCGCAAAAATATTGCATCCCCCAAAGAAACTTTCCGCTCCGCGCGGTATCCCAGGGGAACTTAAGGCATGAAGCACTGACTGACAGTGCATGCAAGTCACCTACTCGCTTGACCGATGCAAACGCCAAACGGAGGGCAGTCTTGAGCGATAGGTGCCGCAAATTGGCCGACTGGAGCGACTCAAAGGGAGGGCCTCGTAGGGCTCTAAGGACTCGTCCCAGGTCGGCACAGAATGAGGACGAGGCAGGTTCAACCTCTGAGCTCCCCTCAGAAATTTAACGACAAGGTCGTTTTTGCCGACTGACTGGCCAGCCACGAGAGCATGATTCGCCGCGATGGCTGCCACGTAGACTTTGAGCATGGAAGGGGTGCGCCCCTTATCCAACAGCTCTTGTAGAAAGGTGAGCATGTGTGGCACGTCACAAGACTACGGCTCCAGGCTGCGTGCTGCACACCAGTCAGAAACGACTGACCATTAAAAGGCATAGAGGCGTCTTGTTGACAGTGCTCTAGAGACTGTCCTTGCAAAGTTGGAACTGCCCCACTTTATAGAACAGCCTTTGAGCACAGACCCATTGTATGCTACTCTGCAGGTTCAGGAAACAGTCTTCCATAAAATGCATCACACAGCGTCACACATGGCGGGCTTGAGAACGGCGCGGCCGGCGGATTTGACGAAGGAGCGTCCTGCAGGCTTACGGCAACCACATGTGACGACCTCGGGCTGGACTCCGCTTCGTTCACGGTGAAAGCCGATCCGGCGATCCACAGTGCAAATTTGATGTATTTCCTCAGCGACCAGCACGGATCATCTCTAGGCATGACGAAGCGGATATCGTCCTCTTTTGGAAGGCGAAACAAAGTAGTTTCGCTTTCACAACTAAACACACAGCATCTCCACAACATGGCACCAGCGACAACAACAATACTACAGCGAGAGTAAAAGTTACGCCTTCTTTCTTTGCGTGAACATTTGGGCGGCGTTATGCAAATCTTCCCACACAGTGACGTAGACATGTGGGGGCGTGTTAGAACGAGCCATTTTAGGAGGGCATGGACAAGTCTTAACTTTTATAAAGAATATCTCTTTGGATTTGAGACTTTAGTCTTTGCAACTTTACAGATCTTCTTTATGCACCAAGAGCTTGTAACACTCCAAAGAGAAAGGAAAACTTGAAATCGCATCATATGACCCCTTTAAAGCAAGGCATTGCAGGCAAAAACATTGTTATTTGTTTTTTTTGGGGGGGGGGGGGGCATTTGGGGTTTCAATGCACTGGACAATTTTGACATTTTAGGCTATTTGGCTTTTCATAAAGTGTTTCAGACCATTGGAAAGAAAACATCAAAAATACACCTATAAGTCCGTATTTTATTCCACTTCATCTGTCTGCTTCTGTAGATTTCAATATATTTAAAGGCCATTTTCTCAAAATGAGTTTACTCCTCGACTTCAGCAGTACTTAAACCAAATTTTAGTTTTATTTGTATGTTTATTCTGAAAGTTTTTACAGAGGGGTTTGTTCATATATCAATTGCCTGATTTTGCACTTTATCTTTTTGCATCTGTAGATTTCAATTTCAATACATTTATTTAAAGGCCTGTTTCTCAAAATCATTTTTTTTCTCCACGTCAGCAGCACATACACCAAATTTTACAGTTTTATTCTTATCTATATTCTGAAGTTTTTTTACAGACCGTTTGTTCATATAACATTCACCTGGCTTTATTATTGCACTTTATCTATTTGTGTCTGTAGATATTAATTACAATAGGTATCTTTAAAGGCCATTTTCTCAAAATTCATTTTTTTTTTCTCCACTTCAGCAGCACTTGCATACACCATATTTTACAATTTTATTCCTCTCTATATTCTGAAGGTTTTTACAGAGGAGTTTGTTCATTTATAAGATTTTATTATTGCCCTTTATCTATTTGAGCCTGTATATTTAATTTATAATACATATCTTAAAGGCTGTTTTCTCAAAATGAGTTTTTTGTCTCCACTTCAGCAGCACTTACATGCACCAAATTCTACAGATTTATCACTATCTATACACTGAAGGTTTTTCATCTTTCATTTGCCTGGTTTTGCACTTTATCTATTTGCTCCTGTAGATTTCAATTACACTAAATATCTTTTAAAGGCCGTTTTCTCAAAATACATTTTCTCCTTCACTTCAGCAGCACTTACATGAACCAAATTTTACAGTTTTATTCCTATTTATACTCTGAAGATTTTTATAGAGGGGTTTGTTCAAATATCATTCGCCTGATTTTATTATTGCACTTTATCTATTTGTGTCTGTACATTTCAATAAAGACAGTTTTCTCAAAAAATAATTTTTTTCCTCCGCTGCAGCAGCACTTACATACACCAAATTTGACAGATGTATTGCTATCTACATTCCGAAGGTTTTCAGAGGGATTTATTCATATGTTTGCCTCATATAACATTTTATTCCTAAAACATGGTCAAATGTATTTTTTTTCTTATTTATGGAGTGATAAAATCAGAAATCTAAAATCCCCTCAAGACCTTTTACTCTAATATATCAACAAAATGAAACAAGAATTTTGAACCTGAAAAACGTCTGTTCTGGAAATGTATGCAAATTAGTGCATATTTAATTAGATAATGCCTCAGTTGCATATTTAGACATTACATTTGAGAAACTTGTAATACAAAAACTTTTCGCAATTTTTAGTGAAATCAGTCAGCAAGAGAAGTATGCTGATATCTATTAGTAAATGTTTTACCCTATTCATCTGTGCTGTTTTGCCTAAATAACATATGGAAACATAATTTCAATATATTAAGCTTAATTCCTATGGTGGTTATGAATGAATAATAAATTAAATTATACACTTAAATTCAGTGTTGGGAAGGTTACTTTGTAAATGTAACAGGTTACAGATTACAAGTTACCCTATTTAAAATGTAATAAGTAGTGTAACTATTTCAATTATTTTATTAAAGTAATGTAACTGATTACTTTTTTATTACTTTTTCTAAATTTCTAACGAATGTCAATCATTTTGAACATTTAAACCAGGCAGGGTTAACCTTACAGTAGTACTCAACACTGATTACCATCAGACTTTCAAAATCCTTCATCGCTTGAATTAAGATTATAATAATTTAATTTTAAAACACAGCCACCACAAAATCAGACTTTAGCACCTCTTTTAACTTTTGAGATTGTTCTGAGGTTAAATACAGATTTAAAATCATAACAAGATATAATTTAATAGCTATGATACTGTTTTTGAAATCAAATCTTTGCATGACAGGAAACACTGGCATCTAACAATGCCTTGGAAAAAAAGTTAATCGTAAAAAAATAAAGCATATACATAAACCAAATAGGAAATAAAACAGTTATCAAATAAGCATGTGTCCTCAATAAGACACAGTCCTATCTGTCTCCTGAAACATTGGTTTATAATATTTTAGAGCAGTCAATGCAATTTGGGAAAGAAATCAATCAAATCTGTATGTGTATGAAAAATATTCAGATGCAACCCCCTTTGTAATCATTAACATTTTCATAAGTAACTTTAATTTAATTACACATGTTTTCTCAGTATCTGTAACAGATTACAGTTACATTTATTTTGTAATTAAACTAGGCTATGTAATTCCGTTACATGTATCCAGTGTTGCCAATTTGGGGATTTTGTCGCCAAATTTAGCTACTTTCTCATTGTAGCTGCGACTTTTTGGAGCTATTTTAGCTATATTTCAATAAAAAATGTTTGGAGATTTTTTATTTTTTACTTGGCCGCACCCTGCCGTAGGCCCGTGACCTCTCATGTTTACATTTACATTTAGTTATTTTGCAGACACATTTATCCAAAGCGACTTACAATTGGGGGATACATAGAGCGATTCTTCTTAAAGAGGCAAACAGACACAAGAAGTGCTTGTAATACCAAGTTTCTAGACATTGTTCAAATAAGTACAAGCTAGAAAGAGAAGGAATAAATAAAGAGATACATTTATTTTTTTTGCTCTCAACCATTGCTCTCAACGTTTGCTCTCAATCATGCCAATGAGTCTGCGCAGAACAACACCAGTACGCCACACCTGCCATGACACACACCACAATTTCATTATAAGCATCAATCAAGATGGTGGAGAAAAAATGAACATCTTGTTTTAACCACGGACACAAAAGTTATACCACAATCCATGCACAGTCATGTCAACCAGATACTGAGAGAGAGACACAGTGCATCGTCGTGTCTGCAGTATTTTGCACTTACTTTGTAGTAATAGAGTGTGTTGACTGAAATAAGTTTGTATGAATAAAGTTTTTATTTTTTGAGAATCATAATAGCTCTTATCTGTTGTATTTGAGCAGGATAGGGATGCACTTTGGTGACACATAAAACAAATTCCCAACATTTTGTGTCTTTCCATCATTTCCATCATATTTGATGTGCTTGCAGATCACAAGCATTTCCGTTTACCGGCCTCATGCTCCCGGTTCTCCGTGAAGACTGTCTCCGAGACATGCAGCTAAAGCTAGCAAAAAAACAAGAATCGGGGACAATTTAAACCTAACTCATTACTGCTGCAGGAGGTCAACTTTTCTTGACGGACGTAATTGTGTACTTACAGTTAAAAAGAGTCGTTTTTGCTTTTTTAAAGATCATTATTTTGTGTATTTGGTGTAACAGAATATGTTGACATGCTTTAATGTTCAAAAAACACATTATTTTTCAAATACTGTACATTATTGTAGGTCCTCTATGCCCCGCCTCTCTCAAACGCTTCGTTTTCTACAAAGTCCCTCCTTCCGACAAGCGCAGTCTGCTCTGATTGGCCAGCTGACCCAGTGCATTGTGATTGGCCGAACACCACAAGCACTCGTCGGAAATGTAACGCCCCTTACCATAATCACGAGCTTCATCTTTCAAAATAAATGTAAAGACAGTAAATAATGTCATTAGTTTTACCATCAGTTCAAGCCCGAAAGGGGAACAGACACAGTAATGATGCAGTACACAAGCCGCGGTTAAGACAGCTGACTCTACTGTGATGTGACGCTGTCTCTCTCACACATGCGCACACACACACACACGATGCGCAAAACTCCGCATTTGAACAGTCAATAGCAAATACTTAAAACTAATAACAAAACAGTAGCTGATTCAGAAGCACCAGATTGTCATAGCAAAGTCAGAATGACCTCCTCTCCTAGGTTCACGAAACGGTCATCCATAAAATGCATTGCTGTTCTGTTGTAAGTAATCTTAAAGATTCCTAAATGCATCTACTTTCAGAAGGCCAAATAAAGTGCTTTTGCTTTCGCCTAGAAACACACAGCGTCTCCCTGACATGCTGCTTCAACACTAACTGCGGTTACGGAAACCACGCCTTCTTTCTTTGCGTGCACATTTGAGCGCATTATGCTAATATTTCCACATAGTGAGGTAGATATGTGGGGGCGTGTTAGAACGAGCCGTTTTAGGGGGGCGTGGCAGAGTCTTAACTTTGATAAAGAATATCTCTTTGGTTTTGAGACTTTAGTCTTTGCAACTTCAGGGATCTTATCTATGCACAATCAGCTTGTAACACTCCAAAGAGAAAGAACAACTTGAAATCACATCATATGACCCCTTTAACATACAAATTTGAGTGAAAACGCGTTAAGCTAATTCATTCGATAGTTTAATCGATTCAAAACGCTGCTGGCTACTCACTTTCAGCTCCTCCGTGAAGTTTGATTTTGTCACGGTAACAGAGACGTGCCTCGCGCGCTGCTGTATTGTACACTGAATGTGTGAAACAGCCTCAACCGTGATGCACACCAACACACTTGTAACATGTCAATGCACAGAAGACAGAAGAAAAAATTAAGAATGAAGAAACTTATCAAATAAAGGTCAAAACTAGGGTCAAAGTTTGGGATATGCAGCGCTATTTTTTACTTATCTACCATAAAATATGTTTAAAGTTTGGTATCTATATAATATATATATATATATTTTAATCTAAAAGGCCATTTATGTGACAGATAACACTGCACAGACTGTATAATGTGATGAATGATGCATACAAGTTAATTCATTTCTGCACCACATCAAACACTAAATAATATTTTGTGTTTTGCAGTTCACAAAACCCATGAATTCACTTCAAACACATGGAAATCAATGTGAATGAGGGCATCACCTCAGAACCAACTGAGGGTTTCCCTTGTGTAGGTTATTGCACATTTGGGGCAGGTCATGCAAATCAAAATATGTTTATTCGTCAAAAAAAAAAAATATATATATATATATATATATATTTTATTAATATGATCAGAGTGACTGTAAACAGCAGAAATGCACAATTGCATATTATTTTTAAAAATGACCTTCATAACAATGCATTGCATTAATTTCATAGCACGTGGGAACATCACATTTGAGAGATGCTTCACACATCTGAAAACGAGGTCAAACTTCAATAGTATGCTGGACACAGGCAGCAAGGGAGAAACATCCTCTCAGTGCAGAACTTATGAAAGTGAAAACAGACAAGAATTAAATTGTTGGATTGACTTCAGTGGATAAATATGACCTGAAATAAAACATAATTTGGCAGCACACTTTGTATAAAATGCAATTATTGCAATCATCCAACAAATTTGCCTAATGTAGTGAATCTCTTGACATGTCCGGGCCTCACTTCTTATTAATTTGTCTTATTTTTTTTTAGTACATCAAGTTATTCTAAATGAAAATGAGAAATGTTGCCTTGGCAACAACAAAAAAAGTTAGATATTAAGTCGATATTTATTTATGAATGACATTAGAGTTATGAGAATTGGAGGGAAATTGTGTTTAATAACTGCCATAAACGTAATGTTGCATGTTATTTCTGAATGTTCTCGGAATGTTAAATGTTTTAAAAACATTTTTCTTGGTTATGCGAATGTTACTTTTGATTGTTCTTTTAAAGGGGTCATATGATGTTGCTAAAAAGAACATTATTTTGTGTATTTGGTGTAATGAAATGTGTTTATGCGGTTTAAGGTTCAAAAAACACATTATTTTCCACATAATGTACATTATTGTTTCTCCTCTATGCTCCACCTTTCTGAAACGCGTCGATTTTTACAAAGCTCATCGGTCTGAAAAGCGAGGTGTGCTCTGATTGGCCAGCTATCCAGTGCGTTGTGATTGGCCGAATACCCAAATATTCAGATGTGTGCAGCACATTTTATGGAGGACTGTTTCCTGATCCTGGGAGAGTAGACTACAGTGCCGGCTGTTCTGACTCACAGACTGTAAGTACGTTTTTTTATATACAAGGATTTGCCACTGATGATTCAAACGTGAGTTTTGAGCAGTGTAGAGTAGCGCTTGTTGTTTGTCATTTCTCTGCTCACAAATGCAGACATGGTTTTATGTTTACGTGGCGCAGTGCAAAAAAGACAGTATAAGTCATTATAATCCATAATTATGTCCCCACTGGATGCAAC